TCCCATTTAACGAAGTCCGAGAAAGCCAGCCCGCTGGTGGTTTGCATTTAAGCCCCTGTGAGATAATGGTGCAAGGGAATCGCCCTGACTCGGAAGTGACTCCTGGCTCCAATTAGATGCCCTGTTGGTTCTTAGATGGCGATACTCCACCAAGTCCTTATTCCCTAGAAACTAACACAGGATTTTCTAACTGGTTCTTATGGGGCGCAGGGAGTCCTGGGCCCCTGTGTCAGGAACTGGGGCTTGGTAGAAACGGAAGGGGTGGGAAGGGCGGGTATATTGGCATAACAGCCAGAGCGGCTGGGACATCCGCTCAACCAGAGGAGTTACAGTTTGAAGCACCAGGCCCTCACTCATTCCCTTCCTTCTATTTTCCCTGATGTAATAGCACAAATGGCTTGCACTTAACGGTCATTATTCTTCCCTGCTTTTTCTTAGAACAACATAGACTCAATCAGAAGCCACTGTAAAACCACAGATAACAGTGAACAGAAACTTGATTACTCCTGTGACAGACAACCAAGATAATTACTAAGATTATGACTGATATGATTTGCCAGGATTTTAGGAGTTCCATATAATTTCTAGAATGTGTATTTAAATAACGTTTACCCATATGATACATTCTAAGGATGTTTTATCACCACTCATTTGACAGTGCCTCCCATGCAATTCAGACACACCCAGTAAGCCCAAATAGTTTAATATCCTCTGAGATGGAGAGAAAACAAATAATTTGAGGTGTTCCAGGGACCCTCTGGCAAAAGTTAACTAGAGGTCAGATGAACCCTACTTGGAACTTGATCTTTGGGAAGTTTGTAAAAAAATATCAAAAAATTTTAACCCGTGATAAGAGATCAATGGCACATAGAGCTCACTTAGAGAAACAGTTATCAAAAGCAGTTCAATATTTTAAGAAAACATTGTCCTCTTAGAGAACCAAAAATTCAGGTCTTGTGCCACTTTACCTTTAAGATTTTAAGTTCAGTCTTCCTTCTAAGTTATGAAAGTCTGGATCATCTAGTTTGACATTCCCAAAACATCATTCCCACAGGGTTTACTCCAAAGCCCTTGGCTTCATTTACCTTTGTTGACTTAACAGCTTTGTCACATTGTTATTTTTCTTGATGACAGTCTTTGTAACAGGAATGAGGTATTATTGTCTAATAAACCTAGGTATAGTGAAAGTATTATACTTGGTGTTGATGCCTCTAAAGACATCTGTACCAAACCAGCAAGCTTAAGCAAAACTTTCACACCAGATACTAATTCAGTACTGAGTATTTCCTAGATCATGTGAACCTGAAACTCATTCTGGCCAGTTTTTTATATTTGAGTGTTCATGTAAGCAATTAAATTTCCTTTAAGCCAATTAAATAGTTCTTTTACAAATTAACCTGGTTGGTACCATACCTCTAACACATGTACAAACATGCAAATGCTATAACCTCAAAAATTTTAACTATGAATCGGGTACAGCAGTGTGAAACCCATCCTTTATAAAAGAGTGATTCAAATTGAGCTTCTAGCAGATGGGACAAACTAGGGTCACATGTCTACAAGTTAAACCCTGTTACTAGTATTTATGGAAAAGACACTTCTATTTCTAGCTTTCGGTGGAACCAAAACCTCCCTTAGGAACCAACCCTCTGTCTTCTCAGAATGTCTCACTCTTGGACAAAAACAGACAGGTTTTCTTCCTTTTCTCCACACTTGATCAGTAAAAGTTAAGTATCACAAAACTGATTTGGCCGTAAGTGGACAAACAGTACCGAACAAGAGGAAACCAAAAAAACCAAAGAACAAGCAGAAGCCTGAATAAACCCTCTTTTGGTCTTGTAGTTTTACATATCCCAGCAACACGGGAGACGTCAGTGATGTGATCAGTGCGGCGAGAGTGGCAGTCCGCAGTGCACAGGGCCCCGAGGTAACCCTGCCCGGACCCCAGTGGGGATCCGGACAGGTGCCACGGCCCCCTTCCTCTCACCCGTGGGTTCAGAGCTGTGCTCAGATCCTGGTCCAAACTGCACCCCGAGGACTTTCTCCAGGGACAGTTGTCACACTCCCTCTTTTTCAAGACAGTCAAAGCACAAGCGGCACGCCCAGGTGGCGGCGCCCCAGACACCGACCCGCCGGCTCACACACGGGGTGCAAGCCCAGCGCCTGTCTCCCCTCTCCAGCGGGCGCCCCACGCAAACCGAAGTGGCTCACTCTAGAGAAACAGGCTCCAGACGGAGAAGAAGCCGCTCCTGGCTGTGCACACCGGAGCTGCTCGCCCTGGCGCGTGGAGTCCGCGTGGCTCCCCAGTTCTGGCTCCTCGCTCCAGCTGCCGAGTGCTGGGGCGGCCGGTGCTGTTTCAGGGGGCAGTGGGGGGTGCGGATCCTCGGGACAAGTGGTCCAGGCAGCTTCCAGGGCCCTCCTCACCCGAAAGCTCCCCAGCCAGGCTGGCTGGGCACGAGTAAGCCAGGCTCCTCGATGCGTCCCCCCAGGTTTGTTAGTCCGAGCTCGTCCTGTGCGCTGCACTACAGGCCCCAGCGAGCGGTTGGGCAAGGAGAGACGACTTTGTTCAGAAATCAAGCACACCAAGAAGAACGTGAGTGTATGCACCACTCCCAGCCTTGCCTGAGTTAGAATTCAGGCCCCTTTTTATACTTAAAGGGGAGGGTGTAGGTCGCACACTTCCTGGTTCTCATCAGCCTCCGGAGGGGATGTGTGAGTTTCTGCCTCCTGCAGTCATTCACAGGTGGGCCTGGTGAGATGGTTCCTGTGAGTGAAACAAAGGTATTTTAGCCTAACGCTCATTCCCTGGGAGGCACGGTTCCCAGAGATGGGCCATTATGTGTAATTAAAGCTTATAGGCGACATCCCTTTGGTGATTAACTTCTGATGGAACACAGAAGGCTTTCCCCGTTACAGTGTCCGGTGACACGTTCATGCGTGCTGGGGTGGGAGGCGACGCGTTTGGGGCCCTCATTCTGCCCACCTCACTGCCTCAGTGACAGAGGACTCCTGTTTACAAAGAAGCTTTTACAAATCAGTGAGGTAAGGGTGGGCACCTCTTAGAAATGGACAGAGTTCAAACAGGCGGTTTATAAAAGCACAGATGGACAAAGGATGTTTCAAGATGGCTCAGCCTCCCTAATAATCGGGAAGGTACACGATCAGCATCTATATACCCCCTCCCCCCCATCAAACAGCAGTGAGCTCTGCAGTGGGCCCTTGGATAACGTGGGTTTGAACCGTGTGGGTCCACTTACAGACGGGTGTTTTTCAGTAGTAAATACTGCAGCCCACCACCACCCAGATGGCCTGAAGCGGGCACGCAGAACCGCAGATCGGGAGGGACTGCGGGTCCGGAGCACCGACTGGATATCACTCAGACTGTCCGCCGTGCGGAGGTCCGCACCCCACCCTCCACGTTGGTCGGGGTCAGCCGTTTACGCCATTGATACACGTGTATCCTTTGTGTCCTGCCTTCTCTAGGACTTTATCTTCACGAAGTTATATTTGCGTGAAAGTGTTGTCCCCAGAGAAGTTTATTGCTGTTTTTATAATCACACACAGTTTTAAACAAAGAGTTCACAATCAACACTGGTGAAACAAATTACCGTGTAACCATAATGGTGGGGCGGTGTGAAATTAGAGGTGAGGTTGTCCAGGGAGACATGTTATTATGATTTTTGAAAACTTAGGAAGCTTGGAAATAATTGCAGATTTATGGGCGTTGCAGAGAAATGTCTGGGGAAACCCCTTGTGCCCGCAGTGTGAGGTTTTAAAGTATAAATATGCTGCATGTATCTTCCATGTGTATCACATGATATAAAGCACATGTATTTAAGTAGAGTGATGAACAGTAATGCAGGGAAATAGTTGTGATACTGATATATTACTGAGTAGACAAGATAGGACTTCATTTTGTTTTAAACGCTGAGAAGACTTCATCTGTGTACTAAGCTCCTCCGTGTCTGTGTTTATCTTTACGTACATGCACCCTGCACGGAGGAGGAGATGGCAGCCCACTCCAGCACTCGTGCTTGGAAAACCCCACGGACAGGAGCCTGGCGGGCCCCGGTCCAGGACGGAGCCGCTGAGGGCACAGGCGCCTGCGAGGCCCCGCCTCGGCTCACAGAGGCGGTCTGCTCCCCTGGGCCGCAGCGGTCAGGACTCGGCCTGCCCGTGGCTTCAGCAAGCAGGGGCTTGCTCGTTTCATGCCATGGAGGTCTAGGGAGTGGTCCAGGGTTGAGAGCCAACAGCCCCAAGCCGCCGGGGTCCCGCTGTCTTCCACCTTCATTCTCAGCCCCCCGTCCGTCACGAGGGCTTCATTTCTCGTGTTTGTTTCTCACGGGGCAGGGTGGCCGGGCCCCTCTTGGCCTCAGGTGTGTGTTCTGAACAGAACAGGAGGAAGCTGAGGGTCAGGGTCGCACCTGCCAAGCCTCTCTCCTCCACCTCTGCGGCTGGCCCTCTCGGGTGCCCTGGCCGCCCCTGGCCGGGCGCTGGGGGAGGACAGGGTGTGCGTTGGGTCTCTCAGCTGGCCAGCGCGCCACGCGAGTTCTTCTGTCCCCGTCTTTTTTTCCAAATCTGCTCTGATGAGCACAGACTTTATAATGAAACCACGTAGTCTTTTAACAAAATTGTGTTTGTAATTCTGTATTCCGTCTCTGGGCAGAGTGGTGTCGGATGAGAGCTTCCCGAGGGCTGTGTCTGGGTTAGTCTTTTAGGCCAGGAGCAGAGGCTGGCCGATGCCCCAGGCCCTGTGGTGACGCCCTTGGGGCCGTGGGTGCCTCACTGAGGCCCGTTTGCCGGGAGGCTGCATGCCCTGCGTGTGTGGGGGGGTGGCCTTGTCCGGCGTCATTCCGCCTTCCCGACGGGCCCTGGGGACTCTGTGGTGGCCGGGGTTGCTCCCTCTGGCGCCAGTTTGAGGAGCTGGCCTGCTTCCTGCATCCATGGGGCCCTTGTGAACACCGGGAGAAGCTAATTTATTCCCCTTCCTTTCTGAACAGCATCCAGCACGTGTACGGCGCTCAGCACCCGCCCTTCGATCCCCTGGTCCACGGCACGTAAGTGACCTCTCGGGTTGCGTGAGGCTCTTCTCAGGCTGGGCCTGGGGGGTGTGGTGACCCCCCGGCTCCCTGGAATTCGCAGCGGGGAGGAGAGTGCCCTTCACTCAGCCAGCACGAATCAAGCAATTGCTTTACGGAGGCGCTGCTGGCCTTTCACGGCTCAGCCTCTGAGGGGGTTCCGTGCAGAGGAGGGCAGCCTTTGCAGGGCCCCCGGGGGCTGGGGTGGCGCCTGGCGCACCCGTGAGCTTGGCTCTGGCCCTGGCTTCTTGGAGCATACTGGGGGCAGCAGCAGCAAACAGAGAAACTGGGCGTCGTCACCCAAGTGAAACCTTCGGTGCTCAAAGTAGTGTGCCAGTCGCGCAGGCGTGTGTGAGTGTTTGCGACCCCATGGACTGTAGCCGCCAGGCTCCTCTGTCCATGGACTTCTCCAGGCAGGAATAGGGGAGGGGGTGGCCGTTTCCTCCTCCAGGGCACCTTCCTGACCCAGGAGTTGAACCCGGGTGTCCTGCACTGCAGGCAGATTCTTTACTGTCTGAACCACCTGAGAAAGGGCACCTTCAGAAAAGCAGAAAGCCCCCGAGAGAAATTTTTTTCACTTCCTGTAGCTGATGCAGGTTGAGTGACGCCCTGTGTTCCCTCCCGCTGCCTGCGGCTTGCTGGGCCTCTGTCTGGGAGCCTTCTCCAGAGGTGGGTGCGGGGCAGGGGTGGCCCTGGAGGACCGGGCGTGTGAGGACAAGCTCCCGACACTTGGAGCACGTGTTGCGTGCTGACATGCTGTGCGGGATCCTTCAAATTGTCCCGTATCCAGACCCGCCTGCCGAGGGCCCGTGTCCTGCGAACAGTCTCCCCCGCCCGCAGCCCCGGCTGCTGCCTCTGGAGGTCTGCGAAGGTGTTGGGGCGAGAGGTTTGCGGGCGCGGGGCGTTGCTGCATGTCCTCAGACGTTGCTCTGTGGGGCACAGAGGCAGCGTGACTGTCCCGAGAAGCCTCTTCTCCTTCCTGACCCCTGCAGCCCCAGAGCTCCGTCTCACCCTGGATGCCTCGGGCCGCATTTGCTCTTCCACTTCACTCTCAGCTCTCTTGTGAACCTGTCCCCCCGGGGGCTGGTCTGACCCGTCCCGGGGTGACTACGCTCAGCCTCCAGGGTGCGAGTACAGACCGCTTTTGCTTTGCAGCTTGCTCAAGGCCACGCCCAAGGCGCCCACCACGCCGGTCAAGGCCAAGCGAGTCAGCACCTTCCAGGAGTTTGAGAGCAACACCAGCGACGCCTGGGACACCGGCGAAGACGATGACGAGCTCCTGGCCATGGCGGCTGAGAGCCTCAACACCGCGGTCGTCATGGAGACGGCCCACCGAGTCCTGCGCAACCACAGCCAGCGGCAGGCGTGCCCCCAGCCACCCGGGGCCCCGGAGCCCTCGGTGGAGCCCTTGGCGGAGGCCCCCGGCGGTGACCTGCGGCTGGTGAAGTCCGTCAGCGAGAGCCACGCGGCCTGTCCTGGAGGTGGGGGCCGTGGGGAGAGGCGGGCGGGTTTCTGGAAGGAGGCCTGGAGCCCTCTCCCTGGGGAGGGGAGGGGAGGGGAGGGGATGGGAGGGTCCCAGCCCTCGGGGGCTCGGAGATCCAGTAGCCTTGGGGCTCCTGGTCAGCAGAGGCAGCTGCGCTTCCTCTCGTCCTCCTGGCTGAGTGCATCTCCCTCCAGACGGCGTGGCCAGGCGGGAGCTTCTGTGGGCTGCTGGGGGAGCTTCTGTGGGCTGCTGGGGGACCCCGCCCTTCTCAGGACGCCCTCAGGGGGCGTTTCCAGCCCAGGGGCTGGTCCAGCCTCGTGTTCAGGGCTGGATCTCCTCCCGGCCAGTTCCGACGATCCCCCCCAGGTCCCCGACACGTGGGCTCAGCGTCTGCAGGGTGGGAGCTCTCTGGAATTGCCAGGTTCTGATTCTAAAGTCTGCGAGGTTAGCTCTTGCCCGTGTCTCCCGTCCATGTGCCTGGTGCTCTTCTGTCACTTTCGCTCTCTTTGGGCTGGAGGGGCTGAGACATCAGACAACACAGCTGTTTAACCTGTGACGGCTCAGGCCGCGTTCTCAGGGCGTGGGTGCACCAGGGAGCCCTTGTCGCCTGGAGCGTCCGTTCTGGCGAGGGGATGGACAGCAGCCTCCGCGTGACGTGTGAGGAGGCCCGGGTGCTGGAAGGCGGCAGGTGCCAGGGTCAGAACAGGTGGGGCGGTCCCAGAGCAGGGTGGGATGTGGGCTGAGATCGTGAATCCAGTGGTCAGAGTGTTCCCTGGGGCCGGCAGTGTCAGGGAGGTAAGGGGTGACTGGGGGGGGTGTGGGGTCTGCGGTGTCAGGCAGGTACGGGGTGACTGTGGGAGTGTGGGGTCTACGGTGTCGGGGAGGTAAGGGGGTGAGTGAGGGGTGTGGGGTCTGTGGTGTCAGGTAAGGGGTGACTGTGGGGGTGTGGGGTCTGCGGTGTCAGGCAGGTAAGGGGGTGACTGTGGGGATGTGGGGTCTGCGGTATCAGGTAAGGGGTGACTGTGGGGGTGTGGGGTCTGCGGTGTCAGGTAAGGGGTGACTGTGGGGGGTGTGGGGCCAGCAGTGTAGCCACAGCCCGCACGGTCCCTTCCCCCTGAGATCTCTGGGGGTTCGGGGGCTCACCCGGTGTTTACAGAGAAGAAAATGAGGTCATCAGCGCAGCCTGAGGCAGCCTGCTGGCTGGGGCAGAATTAGGTTTCATACTCAGCTCTAGGTTTCAAAAACACATTCCAGGAATTAACTTCTGCAGCGTTACCATCTTCTTTGTGGAATAGCATGAGTTATTTCATTTGACAAGTTTTCACATTGGAATCTAAACTATTTTTCTTTGACACGAAGTGAACTTTGACGTATTTGAGCCTAAAAACCGAAGGGCACCCAGTTTGAGCCTTTCCAGGTTGATGCAGGATTCCTGTGGCTCGTGACGGGCACTCTAATCGCATCCCACGCGCCTGGGCAGGGCATGCACTCGCAGGCCCTGGGTTCCTCCTGCGGTGGGCTCTGCTGAGGCCACAACTCTTCGACCCCTGGCAGCAGGGACCACGCCCCAGTCCCCGTGGTTTCTCCTGGGCGTCCTGCGCAGTTGCGTAGACGCCGCTGACGTAACCCAAGCCGTCTTTAGGACCTGCTGCCCATGTGGCGCGGCAGCCACACCCTCCTGCTGGGCTGGCGGGGCCTTCTCTGCTCGGGTGAGACCCGCGAGGTCCGTTTGACTTCTTTGCTCCTGTGAGCGGCGGTTTGGAATTCTGCATCCCCTGGAGCAGTCCTCTGTGGGGGCACAGCAGGTGAGCACGGCTTCTCCAGCGTCCGTGGGGAGCCCAGCAGGCCCGCTGTGGGCGCGTCACCCCGCACGGCGCTCGCAGGGCCTCCCTGCCGTCAGCCCTGGGGAGGGCCTCCTCCCAGCTCGGCGGAGGCGGACGGCGGGCTCGTTGACTGGCTTCTGGGCCAGCGCTCCACTTTCCAGCTGCCCTGACTCTCTTCATAAACGTCTCTTGCCCTCGTACCTGAAGTCAGAGGCACTCTGCCTGACTTGGGGCATCGCTGGGTTAGTGGCAAAGCGTGGTACGGGCCGGGATGGGCTGGGTGGGCTTGGGCCAGGCGGGGCTGTCCCTGCGGCTGCCTGTGGCCCAGCTGTGAGCGGGTCTTGCGTGGACACCAGAGGTGGCAGTGGACTTGTGCCCTCGGGGACCCTGGAGGTGGGGTGGTGGTGGGTTTTCTGCTCACAGTGATGGGGGGCCTGGCTGGAGGTCTTGCTGTTCCTCGGGGGCTTGTTGCTCTCGCCTGATCTCCCAGATCCTGCCTCAGAGCTCGGCTCAGGGGCGCGTGGGCCCTTAGTGTCTGAGTGAAGTCACACGGGGTGTCTCTGAGGTTGAGGTAAGTAAGACTGAGCACGTCTATCCGCGATGTCTCGTGGACCTGTATTTGCTGCGACACCTTCTCCTGGAGAATCTCGAGGTGCAGGGGGAGGGGCGTTCCCCTGGAGGGGGGCCTCTGGTCCCCCCATCTCTGCCCACCTCCCCACCCCCCCAGCTCCAGCCCCTCCTCCCTGAGAGGAGGCCAGTGTAGGGGCTCCTGCAGGCGAGGGCAGCCCCAGGCGAGGAGGCGCCCTCACCCTCACCACTGTGCCCACTTTCCCAGGCGCTCTGGAAGCTTAACTGGGCCGATTCTGCCCGGAGGCGCGGGTCGTCTTGCTCCTCGGTAGCCTCGGGGCCCCCACGGGAGTGTGTTTGGGGTGAAGGCTCTGCTCTGTGCGGGGAGGGAGCCGTGTCCCTGCTCTGTCAGGCAGCTGCTGCTGGAAGTCGACGTCGGCACGTTCACTCCACGTCGTGTGTCCCTTGCCCTGTTTCCTGGAGTTTAGCTCTTACCCTAGCCTCCCGCTCTGGACGCTGTGGTCGCTCGCGGGGTCGCAGGTCTGCGGGTCTGCAGCCGCTCAGGGCGTCGTGCCGTGGGTCCCCTGCTGTCCCTGCGGGCTCTCTGTCCTGTGACCCGAGGGCCCCCCGCTCCTGCCCCTGCCCGGGCCTGGGTGCCACGCGCTGTCTCACGTTGCCTCAGCGGCTGGGTGCGCTCCGGCGGCCCCTCAGCCCACCTGTGTGGGCACTTGGCTTCCTTTGCTTTCTCTGGGTGCTGGTCCCGGCCTGGCCTCCCTCCTGGGCTGGGGGAAGCCTGGGGATGTTCAGCAAGTCACGGTGCCCTTGCCGTGGGCCTTGGTAGCCTCCCTGCGTTCTCAGGCCTGAGTGACCCATGCAGGCACGCTGCCCCAGCCCTGCACCCACCGATCCTCTGGCGTGTCGCCCGGGCGGGCCCTCTGGGGAGCCCTGGCTGCCGACCCCGACGTGTGCTGTGGTTTTCTGCTCCTCCCTGTTTTGCCCCTCGTGGCGCGTCTGTTTCCCTGAGGAGTGACCAGGAGGGCAGTGGGCTCTGCGTGGGAGCCGGCTGCCTCTCTGCCTCGAGCAGGCAGCTCTGCGCTGCTCCGTGAGGGTGGGGCGGGACTGCAGCGGGCGGGCACCAGGCCTCCTGGTGGGCACCTGGCTGTGAGCTGAGCCCCGGGACCTCACCTCTCTTCTCCCCCCACCGCCCACAGGAAGCGGCAGCGACGCCGTTCCTCTGCAGAGGTCCCGGTCTCTCCCGCACGCGGCCACGGTGGCACTGGGCGGGGCGCCCGAACCCAGCGCCCTCAGCAGCTCGGCCTTAAGTGAAAGAGAGGCCTCTCGGCTGGACAAGTTCAAGCACCTGCTTGCGGGCCCCAACACAGACCTTGGTGAGTCCCCCTTGTGAGCCCCTGTGGTCAAGTCCCCGGGGTGAGTCCTGGGGGTGAGTCCCGAGGGTGAGCCCCTGTGATGAGTCTTTCGGGTGAGTCCCCGGGGGTGAGTCACTGTGGGCTTGGCCACTCTAGGCTGTGCTCATTTCTGCAGGAGGCAGAATCTGCAGGATTTGAAAGGCACGACTTGCTCCCCCTTAGTGCACAGGTTACCTATGTAATTCACCAGGTCAGAAAGTGACCTGTTGTATGTCATGCCGGTAAGTCACTGGGAGGAGAGCTGCTCGTCCTGAAAGTTTACTCTAGATGTGTTTATTAATGTGCTACCAGTGCAATTTGAGGAGCATTTAAAAAAATTTTTTTACTTTTAATTGTAAGATAATCGTTGTACAATGTTTTTTTTTTAAACTTATTTTTAGTTGGGGGTGATGAGCATTCTTCGATGATTTTCCTAACGCGCTCTCCTGGCTCCTTAGTGCTGCCGTGGGAGGCTGCCCGGCCGGCCGGACGTCCTTCCTTGTGCTTCGTGGTGGTCGTGGTGGCGACCAGGGCCGGTGACTGAGACCTGCTTGGGGTGGCTGGCTGTGCACCGTCTGACGGGGGCAGCGGGTCAGCGTGGAGTGCGACTGGTTTTTGAGTGAGCCGGGGGCCGGGGGTCAAGGCTGGCCTTGGCTGGGGGGCCAGACAGTCCCGCCGAGCTTCTCGTGGCGCAGCTGGGCCCTGCGGACCTGCTGTCCAGTCCTGCTGGAGTTCCACGCACAGGAGGTGCTTCCACGTCTGTGTGTGACGCCTGCCAGGTGCCCCTGGGCCCCGGGCACTTTGCGGATGCTGGAGCTCCTGGAAGGATGGGGTGGCTGCGGTCCCAGTAGCTCAAAGTCACGCTGAAGGCTGGGTGCCGCGGCGGGCAGTGCCCTGCGCAGCCAGCAGGTGGCGCGTGAAGCCCGCGGATGGAGGTGCCGGCCCGGGCCGTGCCTGTGACGCTGGAGCTGAGCAGCCTCCTTCCTGGGGCCGGGGCCTGGAGGGAGGCGGCTTCGGGAAGGTCCCGTGGCCCCGGAGGTGCTGCTCCCGTCCAGCTGCCCTCCTTAGTTCACTTAGGTTTCTTTTCTGGGCTCACACATGACAGTTTCACAGCACAGAGGGGGCAGCGGGAAGAAGAGCCTTTCTCCTTTTCCAGCTCGCCTTCCCCGCCTCCACCTTCGCACGGTTCCAGGTGTCGCCGTCCTGAGAGGTCCAGCTTGCTATCTGTGTTAGGCTTCTTGTTCTGATGTGACTTCAAACGCACGGGAAAGGCGCGGGGCCGGTACGCGTGCCTCCCTGTGCTCTGCCCAGCCGCACTAGCCGTTCACCTCCCGCCCGGTTCGTTCTCCGCGTGCGTGCTCACGTCTGCTCGTGCTTTTCCTCAACCCTCTGAGTCACTGGGAGAAGCCGCACCCTCCGCTCCTCAAGGCCTCATCCGCTCCTGAGGACAAAGGCCGCCTCTGGGCGTTGCTGTGGCCCCATCGTCCCGGGCTCAGCCACGCGCAGTTCCGACGGTGCTCGTCCCAGTGACGGGCACACGCTCATGCCTCCCTCCTAGTCCAGGACCCGCCCGGGGTCCCGCGTGGCGTGCGGGCGCCACGTCCCTGTCTTGGGAGCTGGCATGTTCCTCCGGAGCTCGAGATGTGCTCTGGGATGAGCAAGGCCCCTGGGCGTGTGTCACGTCCCGCTGGTGAGCTCTGAGCCGGCTGTGGGTGAATTGTTTAGCACCTTGGTGATCACGGCCGGAGGCCGGGGTGCTGGTTTGTCCTGGCTCAGCGGAGCCCCCTCTGATCACCTCTCACCAGACACCTCCTGATCTAGTCCTAGGCGGCACGGGAATCACTCGTGAAAACTAGATTGCCCGGTGGGAACTGCAGCTCTGGGTCAGGACCTGAGCCCCCAGTTAGAATCTCCTGTGGACTTTGTCATCAGAGTAACTTGGGAAATTAAAGTCATACTTAAAAATGAAGTTTTCAAGATGTGTGGGCAAGTGAGTACGTATGGGTAAAGTGAAAGGTTAAAAGAAACCGGATTCTTCTGTTCGGTTGTGGGATTCTGTTTTTTTCCTTGCTTTTCCTTAAAATTCTATGTAAGTATGAAGTCTCACACCAAAAGGCGAAAATTAAAGCTTTCAACGTTAAACAGTCACGGGATTTGTATTTGGTGGCAGGAGAAAACACAGCCAGTAAATTGCCTGTTTTTGTAAGGCAGTTAGAGAGCTTTGGGAGACAGTGGGAAGTATTATCTTCACATCACATTCGCGACGTGAGTGGCAAATATTTGCCAACATTGGAGGCGCAAGGCGCTGACCTGGGCGACGCCCACAGAAGTGCCTCCGGCCGCAGTGTCCCTCTGGCCTCAGGCTGCGCGGCTGTGTTTGCTGGGGCTCCGCCTGGAGCCTGCGGACGGGCAGCGAACAGATAACGGCTCACTCCGCTCTCAGCGTCGACCCAGTCTTTTCCCGTGCAAAGGCCGCCTTTTTCGAAGCTCAGGGAAACGACCCTTGGAGGCTTCCGTGGTCACGCGTGTCTGTGAATGGGAGTGTGACTTGGCCGCCGGCAGGACCTGCGCCTCCGAGGCCCATGGGTGACCGCCTGGTGGCAGCCGGGCCCCGAGGTCCTCTGCAGGCACGGCACACGGCCCTGTCACCGGAAGTTCAGCCTGTGATGTGGGGGAGGGAGGCCAGCTGCAGGGTCACCCGGGTGGTCCTCTTACCCACGTGAGCCCCAGGGCCGGGCTTTAGGGTGGAGAGCCTCTGTGTGGGAACCGGCTCTGGGGGGAGGGGGTTTTTCAGGGGGCAGGTGGGTGGCCTGGAGCCGTTCATTCGGGAAGCGAGGGCTTGAGCTGATGGCCCTTCAGGGCCTGGGGCTGGAGGACAGCCTGCCTGCAGGGTCTGTGACAGCAGGAGGGCGAGGCCGTGCCGCCTGGGAGTCAGTGCGTGACCGGCGCGGATCCGTGACTCAGCCTCCTGTCTCATCTGGGGATCTGACCTCCCTGCAGGGTCCTTGTGAGCTGGGGTGACTGATGTCAAGTGCCCACGTAGTTCTTTGCTCAGCCAGTCTTCCTGAACCACCTGTTGTGGTTGGTGCTGGGGTGAATTGCGAACAGAGCCCGGGGACCCTGCCCTCGAGAGCTGGCGCTGAGTGTCGGGGGGCCGATGGATGCCTGCAGCCAGCTCTTGGAACTGGCTGAAGGTGGAGAGGGAGACAGTGCTGAGGGTCCAGGCCAGCGCTGCTGCGGAGCGTGGGCGGCACGGGGCAGGCGTTGGAGGTGGAGGAGACCTGGTCGCCCCCCAGGACGGTGGGACAGGGGAGGAGGGAGGCCTCGGGCAGGAAGGCGCAGGTGCAGCGGGCGGAGAGGGCCAGAAGGCGGCCCTGGGGGTTCTCCCGGAGCGTGGCTCCTGTGGCGTCAGAGTGTGACCTCCGGGCGAGGAGCTGGATGGCAGGAGGGACGGGGGGAGTCAGGGCTGTGGACGGTGGTGGGGGCAGCCAGGCCGGGTGGACGGGCTGTTGGCTGGAGCTTGGGGTAGCCTTGGACACAGCCCAGACTGCAGGCGGTGCGTCATGTCAGTGGGAGGCACAGTCAGGATGAGAAACAGCCTGAGGGGACGCAGTGCGCCCCGATGCCCGCATGCTCATTCGTTGCTTCTCGGGCCTCACTCTGTGTGCGTTCCCTGCTTTACAAGTGTGTGCATGTGTGTGCACGGTCTTGCAGCCCACACACACTCGCTGTCTGTGCCCGCAGCAGCCGGCTCCCGGTCACCCCGCGGCTGTGGGGCCCTGGTTCCGGAGGCAGCCCGGGGGTCCCACGGTAAGGACACAGCCAGTGTCGGCCAGGCCCTCTTTTCTCTGCCGGGGGTCTCGTCAGAGGACGGGAGCGGAGGGCCCGCCTTGGCTATCGGGCCAGGCTCAGCCCCGTTCCCGCCGATCCGGGCGGCTGCCTGCCTGTGTCCAGCGGCCCCCCCCCCCCCCCCCCCAGGGCCAGGCGCAGCCCCGCCGCCACGTCACGGCTGGGAACAGTGCACGCACATGGAGGCTGTGAGTGTGTGCACCCGTGCCAGCTTGTGCTGCCTTGTGGGCAGTGAGAGTACTCCAGAGAGGCATTAGAATGCGGCGGGGGGAGAAGCTGACGGCTCTGCTGATCGCCTTGCTTGCTCCCAGAGTCTCGTCTGGGAGGACCCCTGCCAGGACGGCAGCGCCGGTGCAGGGGCGCGGGGAGAGCCCGCGGGTGCCCTGGGGCACCCTGCCCGGCGGGATGTTGACCCGCCCACGGGGCCGCCTGTCCACACCCCAAGTCCCCTCAGAGGGCGGGCAGTGCTAGGTTCTTAGCCTGTTGGTGCCGGTTCGTCTGGAGACGTGCCCCTCAGATGCCCCTGGGGCCTCGCTGCCAGCCACACTCCCAGAAGCTGAGTGGGGGGTAAGGGGGCCCCAGGAAGCTGGCATGGAGCCTCTGCAACCTGGCTTTATGTCTGCTCTGTGGTTTGGGGAGAACGGACTTTCTAGTGAAACAAGCCAAGAAGCTTTAAAATGAGGGTTGGTGAATGTGCCTCGCTGCCCCACCTGCAGCTCAGGACGACCGCCGCCGCCCACGCAGGAGAGCCTGGCACACAGTGGGTGCTCTGGCCAGATGTCCCACACCCCAGGGTGGGGTGTGGTGGGATCCAGTGGTGTCTTTGCCTTGGTCACCGTGTCTCAGAGTCCTGGCCGCAGGTCGGCAAGCCTTTCCTGTGCAGGAGCCCAGCCTGGCCGATCCCAATGGCACAGGCTGGTGTGGGGGGCGTCTCTGTGAGGTGACCAATTTCTTTCCCGTTTCTCCTGGATTTCCCCTGGATTTGTTTCTCCCTGGCAGCATCGCTTCCAATCAGTAGGAACACTGATGAAGTAGCTCTCACTAAGAACATACGTAATGGGGCAGTGCGTGTTTTTGAAAAAGGTCATCTGTTTTTAAAGGCAGCTTCTAGATTGGAAGCATTGCCTGAGTTGCCCCCCAAGGCCCTGAT